TTGAATTCTATTGTCCGGGTTTTCTGTTCTGCTTTTCTGTTAACGGTTTAGTGAATCTGGATAGCTGAGAAGATTGAAACTGGTTTCTAATGGTTGTTAAAGCTGATGCTTGACCTTTCTATGGGAAGTCTGAAAACCTCATTCAGTTTATTCTGGGCTGATTTCCTTAGGAAATCCAATATGATCAGGGAATTTCCTTCAGCTCGGCTGGATGTTAAAAAAGTTAGCCTATGTTGTTTATACGTCCTGGTTTTAGCACTAGGTGTTTCTGTGGCTCCCCATCAGTAGGAGAAATACAAGGGAAAAGATCTGAATATGGCTTATAGATAACTGTACAGTCTATGGCCATACAAAGTTATCAAAAGCTCTGTTAGGTGTGAGATGCACTGCTGCAGACTCGCTGTAAAGGTTTTTAATTAGGGAGTTATACTTTATTTGATAATTGACAACTTTTCGAAGGACGGTTTTGTCATATCTGAACCTTCAACGTAATTGCTACTACTTTCAATTCATGCCTCGTTTTTCTTTGCTGTCACGGGAAGCGCAACCACGCACCAGCGCAAGAAAACCCCAAACCCCACCAAAAACCCAGCCCACCCTTAAATCCGTTGATGTCTCTGGCAAGCTGCAGCCGGGCGAGGCGTACAGGAGATGATGGCAGGACTTCTTCCTTGGGCCCTGGGTTTGCAGGAGGGTGAGCGCTGGGCTCCCGAGCCCTGAGCATGCTGTAGGAGACAAGAATCATTCTGTTTGTAATGGAATGCAGACAGCAGTGTTAGGTCACTGCTTCCTGGCAACTGCTGCACAACTTGTTTTTCTTCAAAGGCTTTGAGCTTTTAAATAGTTTCCAAAATCTTTTCAAGTAAAACATTGCCTTCTACCATTTTTGACCACCTTAACGTTAACTCGTTTCGTGCCTAAATAATGGACCAGTAAAACATCACAGGGTGTCTCTCATCTGTATACGCTTAACACTGTGTATGCCTGCGCCCACATGGACTTTTATACTGGAAGTATTGTTTATAGAATAAAGGGGAGAAAAATAGCTCCACCTGGAGTGCTGGTCAGCGGCTAGTCAGTTCAGGACATTCTTCCCTGTCAAATCTTGTTTCTCACTTCTCTGAAATGAACTTCAGACGACAGGCGTTGAACGCGAAGCTCACTTCGCTGAGGTACTGTGCAGCCTGCAGACTCCTCGTTGCCAGACACTTCGGGTGAAACGGGCATCTGCATTATTTGCATTGGGGGTGATGGGAGAAGGGGCTTGCAATTGTCATTTTCACCTTTCAAATCTACTCGCCACAGTCCATTACTGCGAAATCTTTAGCTAATTGAATAAGGATATTAGTACGTTGATATTGCAGGAGCTTCAGATTTTTTAGATGGTGGGGGGGAGAAGATCTTGTTCTTTGTTCTGTAGAAACTTAAGTTGTCATGTAGAGATCAAGAAGCCTTACAGCTGAAATAAAACATGAATTTGGTGTTGTGAAGGGGTTCTTTCCCATGGCTTGGCTAAAGAAATGTAAACAGAAAATTATTTTTAATCTGAATACATTAAAAAAACTTTGATCCATGTAGTTAGTAGCAGCCCGTTGTTTCTCATACAGCCTTTAATAGCAGCCTATAATAAAGTTTAAACTGATACTGAATTTAGAGTAAGTAGCGAGAGTGTAAATTCTTAAAAACATTGGCTTCCAGATTATGTTTTCTTCACCTTCTTTCACGTGAAAGATCTAAACCAGTTAGTTTAAAAACTGAACTTTTAATGTAAAGGGTCTTGTTTTTCCACATAGATGTTCCTTTTTAAAGAACTGCTTTAAAATCACAGTTACCCTGTTCTTATTTACTATAAACTTGATTAGTTTAATATATGGTAGTGTAAATACATCAGGAAGTAGTATACTGTGTGGTTTTGTGGATAGAGAAAAATGATCAGCAGATGTAAAATCAAAGTCAAAATATCCTGCCCTTTTAAAAGGTTTTTTTCACCAAAAATTTTTCATCTGAAAGACATTGACTTCCATCTTCATTTTTTTTTTTTCCTGCCATCGATATGAAAGTTTCCAAATAACGTTTAGAGAACAGTGGACATTTTATTAAAGTAAACATTAGTTCAGTATAATGGAGGTAATTGTAAGTGATAAGAGCAGAGCAGGTTATCTGTGTGTTGTTTAAACAGAAGGAGCTATTTTGCACCATTTCCAGTAGCCATCTGTAGAGGAGAAGGGTTTGCACCTGTCTGTCCACACTAATTATAGATTAGGTCCAAAGAAATGAAATTCGAGTAGGCTTTCTCTTAATGAAATCCATAGTGATTTTATTGTAAATGTGTTTTGTGTACAGACTGTGATGGTTGGGTTGTGAGTAAAATAAATGGCTGTATGGCTGTTATGTAGTTGTAAAGCAGGATATTGCTGCATTAACAAAGGTGCTGAATAAAAATGCAGTGTTCCATTTAAGTCCTAGGCTTCAGTGGTGGCTTTAGCTAGGTTTAGTCAAAAAGGTTCACTGTAAGTAGAGTCTTTCAGGGTAGACCTCTCAGTTACCATCACTTTCATGTCAATGTACTGGCATATAGGTGGTCCCTTGGCTGAAATGAGGTAGAAATGGTTTCATGTTAAATATGTACGCGTGTACATGCGGAGTGTGTCAGAAATACTTTCCTCTTGTTTAACACCTATATTAGTAAAATAAAGCAGAAAGAGAAATGCATTCTGCAGTAAAAGGTCACATGAATTTCTACCACATCTGTTTATAGTAATTATGAACATAATTAACATAAGAATTACAAGTGAAGTAATGACAAGCTGAGCTATGAGATATTATGCCATAATGGTCATATGTTGGAATTCTCACATTATAGCACACTAGAATTCACATATTCAATGCAAGAAAGAAAATGTTAGATTTTTATCTATTTTAATGCTTCAAAACTTATCTGCTTGGGGCAGATGGACTTTACGCTTTATAGGATGGTAACCCATTATTAAGAGAGAGTTGGTTGAAATTAAGATTTCTAGCCTGCAGCTTGGACTTTGAGACAGCTGTGCTTATGGAACGCCACTTCTGTTATACATTTGTACTCTGATTGTATTTATTTTATTAACACGCGTTGCTTTATTTTTAAATGTGAGTGGTTTTGGAGCAAACTGTTTACATTAGAAAGGATCCTGGATTAGTTTTTCTTCAAAGAATTGTGATTTGAGGAATAAAACTGCCTGTTGGAGTGGCCAGCATATAGATAGAAGACACACGTTGTGGCCCTGCAAGATGAGAATCTAATGGATCCTAAATTAGTTTGTGGCATGATATATATGTATTTCAAGGAAAAAATCCCAAACCAAAATCCCTAAAAAGAGCAGTCTCTCATTTTGTACATAATATTTTGAAAGAACATATGCAGAGAGAAAGCTCTGTGGTACCTTGCAGTTTTGAATTTAATCAAAGTTGCTTTTCTTTAGAGATGCATAGAACATACCAGTAAGTTTAGGGGCTAAGGTTTCAAATGAGTTGACTAACTTTTGTAATATGACCTGTCTGATTACCTCTAAATATGGTTGTCACACAGCTGACAACTGGAGGAAGTTGAGGGAGAAGTGGCCCTTCTTCAGGGTAAAAATACTGGCTGAGGAATGCATAGTAAATTTGACATGTGAAAATCAGTTTGACTTTAATGAAAAAAATCAAAGTCCTGTTTTTCTGATGGGAAAATTCACCAAACTGCTGTCTTTCTAAGGCTAGACATACTGAGTGGTTTATGAAAAATAAAAAAAAATTACCTTGTGCTATGTCTCAGTGATACCAAGAGGTTTTCGCATTATTGGATTAGTGGAGGATTTGTGACAGACCCCTTTTTATCTGACATTCATTGCGGTGACACGATTTTCACACACACGCCCTTCCCCCATCTAGGTTCTGGTTTTCACTTCGTATTATGTGTCAAATTCCCTTCATTTCTTTTCTTGTGGAAAAAAACCTGCTATCTTGGACGAGTGATTTTGGAAGGAGTTCTGCACTGAACAATGCCTGTCTCACTCCAGCGTGCCGTCATTGTCCTCATCCCAGCCTTCACCGTGCTCCTCCGCAGACGTGCAATGGAAACGCCTTTCCTTAACAAATAAGTGTTGATTCCTAGGCAGAAACATTTTTTAAAAACTTTAAAACCCGAGCACGCAGGGCTCGCTGGGCAGCCTGGGGGCTGGTGCAGTTGTTCTGCCGGCTGGCTGTGCCTGCTGTAGGCAGGCTGGGCTGCTTTGCTGCCTCCCCCCGCTCTACCTCACGCTCTCCCAGTCCCCCTCTGACGAATCCCGTCAAAACAAACGCTCCGTTTTCTCAAAACTGTAACTGTTAAGCGTAGGGACCCACTCTGGCTTATCGCTCATCCTCTGGTGAATGATGCTGCTGTTCCTAGCAGCAGTGTTATGTTGAGGCTGTTCAGCCGCTGGCAAGGCCGAGCGGGTCAGGTTAGGTCGGGACTTGGCCAAACTGGGAGCGGGCACAGCCCGCCACCACGCCGGGCCAGGAAATTTCTGGGCCTCGGAGCCGTCGTGCTCCATCCAGGACAGTAGGTATGGTCTGTGGAAGTGGAGGTGATCTCGGGTGGGGGAGCCCGCGCTGCGCTCCCCGGGGTCTCTGGCAGGGCTCTTATCCCGCAGAGGTTTGGGGGCGGCCGCCCGCCTGAGGTGAGGCACACCCAGGCCGAGGCAGCCGGGGAGCCGCCGCCTTCTCACCCGGTGGGCGGCGCGGAGGTGGCGCCTCTCCCCTCCTCACGCCGGGCGCGGCCTCCCCGGGGACCCCGGCCCCGCTCCCTCACCCCCGCCCCGCCGAGCGTCCCTCCGGCCTCCATCTGGGCCGCGCTGATACCGTGTAATCGCCCCGATGCGCGCCGCCGTCCCGCTCCCCCCGCGCCGGCGGGGCCAGGGAGGCGCGATGTGCCGTCCTTTGCGCCGCAGATAAGCTGCGAGGCGTGTGAGGCGCACAAAGCCCGGGCCGCGCCGGCGCCTCCTTCCCTCCCTCCCTCCCTCCCTCCCTCCGCCGGAAGGTAATCTCCACCCGCGGTACGGGGAGAGGCGGGCGGGGGGGGACACCCCTCGCCGCCCCCCGCCGACTGGCCCTCCGCCCGGCTCCCTCGGCGCTGCACAAGTCGATAGGAGCGGGGAGAAGTGAAGATGTAACATCTTATCTCCTCCCCCCGCCCCGTCGCGGGTGGGGGATTTACAGGCAGCGATAAGCCGGCAGGGAGACAGGATCTGCTTTTTGTTGTGCGTGGGGCAGCCGCGGCCTGGGCGATGCCCCCCGCCCCGGGCCGCGCTGAGGGGAGCGGGGGAGAGGGTCTCTCGCCGCGGAAGGGGAGGAGGTGGCCCGAGAACAATAGGTCACTGACCGACCCCACTTTAAACGCAGTCGAGGGGGAGGAGGAGAGCGGCTTGTCCGGGTGTTTCACGGGACGTGGGTGGGTGAGGGGAAGGGCCGGCGTGGCGGGAGAGCCCCCGGCCCCGGGTGGGAGTGGGTGGCGAGTGGGGCCCGGGTGAGACGCGGCGACCTGGTGTGAGCGCGGCTCTGCTGGGCTGGGCTGGGCTGGGCTGGGCTGGGCTGGGCTGGGCTCGGCCCGGCCCTCCCGTGGGGCAGCGGACGGGAGCGGGCTGTCACGGCGGGCGTGCGGGCACCCACCCTGCCAGTGTCGGGGTGGTGGCAGTGGAGGCTCCTGGCTTCTCAAATCCCCTCAGAGAATGACAGTGGCTTTTAGGAGAAGTGGCCTCTTGTTTGTTTGTTTTTTTTTTCCTTGTGTGAGCCTTTTTTTTGTTGTTGTTTTGGACTTTTGACGGTGATTTTTCAGTTCTTGACAGATTGAGATGACTTGCACGCTAAGTGTGTGCACTCATGCTGCTTTAGCAAACGGCTTTATCAGCGATCGTATCTTAAAGCAACATTAAGCAATTTAAAATATATTTAAAAGTTTGAAATATTTATATTGCTGTTTCACTTTGTCAAGTGTTTGCGCAGATAGATATATAGATATGATCCAGTAACTAAAAGCCTAATTAAAATTTGTTTAAAGCCAGGGGGGCATGTATTCTTGTTGACAGCAGCGGATCGATAGGGTAAGACAATAGAGCCCCATTATTTTACTTCCATTGACTGAACATATTGACATTTCAGGTTTGCGATTGCCTCAGTGAGCATGATGAAACACTGAAATTCACAAACCAACTGTCTGGAGTGGCACATATATTACTGTATGTCATCTCTGCCTTCAGGTTACCTTATCACTGAAGCAGAATGGTAATGGATGGCAGCAGAGTACTTCAGAGGGGTTAGTGCTCTATCAGTTAAGAAGCTGACACAGGTAGCTTCAGATAGCAGGTTTAGGGAGTATCTTTAATTACACCTAGAATTATGTACGAGGGAAGATGGTCCTTGTTACCTGCTGCTGCGCCTCAGAGTTTACAGGCTCGGAAGCAGACAGGATAACAAGGTATTTAGGTTTCATATTTTATATACATGACTTGATACCTTAAACTTTTGCAGGAGCCTAAGGACTTCTGATTGTGCTGTTTGCATGCTCCCCATGTTCACCAATGGCAGCATCTCAACCCGGTCTTGATGCTTAAGTTCCAGAGCACCTGCTAGACCTTCTCCCAGTCTGAAGATTGCAAAGGAAACAAAGAACAACTTTAAAATAAATAAATGCACGTTGAGTTTCTCCCCCCTCAGCATGTTCTATCAGCAATGCTCAGGGAATTCAATGCAGTGAGACTATAGCGGAATGATACATATACACATTTTTTTGCTTAGAATTTTTTCCTTAGCACTGTAAAAAGAAACGTCTGTGCAATGTGTGCATGTGTATGCATAATTGTGTATATTAATTTATATGATTGCATATCAGTGCGTATATAAAGAAGACCCAGTGGCTGCAGAACATACAACATGTCTTATTATTTCAAAGGCTTTCAGATCTTCTTTAAAATCTAACTGACTGTAGAATGAAACCCATCAGGGTTAGGCAGAGATAGAGATTGAAATTAATTTAAAGCAGACAAAGAGCTAATATGAAGGAGCCACTAGTGATTTAACTCATTTTTAAAAGTAAGTGTAATGAAAATATAAAATGTATTCTGAGTGTGCCATCTACTCAGCAATTGTTGCCATCAAGTGGACTGCTGATGCCCTTTAAGATGGTAAAAAGAAAACTAGTCCTTTATACCATTTTCATGAAAATGTTAGGTTTCTGTTTGATCAGCAGGTGCTGTTGAGATGAAAGCCATGTGTAAATTTTCAGAAGGCCAAAAGTGTCAATTCAGAAAAGGAAAGTGATAAGAGAAAATGCAATCAGTTTTCCTGTTTTCAATTTGTGCAGGATTTGAAGAGCTGTTTTGTTAAACTGCTACATCTGCTCCAATATGAATATTGAACTACTTCCACTAAAAATAACACCCTATAATTTGGAAGCCATTGCAATCTTTTGTTAATGCAAGTGGGTTATTTAAAAAAAAAAAAAAACTATTCTGAAAAATCTCCTGCCTAATGTGCATTTTTGTTTATCGGCACTTTTATCTTCAGCAGATAAAATGGCATTATGCAATTAGGACCATATCTATTTGGACTGTAAAAATGGCACTGGGTAGCTGAATGTCACTATATTGGTTAGATGGTGTAGCTTGTAGATTTAAAATAATTTTATTAATAAACTGTGATTGTATCTTAAAATGACGAGTGACTGCTTCCTCATTGCAACAATGCAGCTTTACCTACTACTGAGCACCTTGTGCAAAGTAAAGGATGTTCAGAGTATGACAGAGTATTCTTTGGCTTGTTTCATTCATGCTGTAACTGCAAATCTCAAGTTTAGGCTCATCAAGGACATTTTAGTTAATGGGCTTTTTGGAGTAACTTTTTCCATGGTAAATGAAATGTTTAAATTGGGCTTGAGTGCATATATACAAAAATATTCGCTGCTGTGGAGCTGCTAATCCAAGTGAGTTTTATGAACCTGGGAAGCACAGCATTGGTAGAGCATAAATTTTCTATCAGAGGCATCTCCAGAGAAAATAACGTTATTGCTTTTTAATTAAAAAAAAAAAAAAAAGAAAAGGGTATGTGTTTGTTAATTTTATAAATAAGGATCTAAATGAAGAAGTGGTAATTCACTGTTACATCTATAGAGCCCTGTGTACATAACAGCTAAAAGTACAAAATGAGAGCTTTTACTTCTTTATTTCAACATAGAGAATTAGCTGATTTTAATATTAGAATGGGTTTTAGCTGTTGGATTCTAATCTAGTAGTAGGGAACTTGTTTTTTTGGCAGGTGTCTGCTTGAGAAAGGGCCTTGCTGATGCTTCTGTTTGGTTTTGCAATTGGATTTGTAAGCTTTTGACCTTGGGGGATTTTCCTCAAAGTGATCTACAGATCAGAAATAATTAAAACTCAGTAAACTGAAATTTAAATATAGAATGGATTTTGTGTGAGATCCGTGCTTGTGGTAGGTTGTCTAGAAGTCTGTGGCAAGTCTACTTTATAGTTTGTATTCCCAAACATAACTGTGTGCACACATGTGCATAAATTTATGTTGAATGACAGAGGGATGATTATTTATACAGATTTTATCCAAAACTCTGCACTCCTGAAACATAACAAAAAGCCTCCCTCCCCAGAAGAGTGTTTACATCCCGTGACAGTCACTAGATTCAAATCTTCTAAACATGGAAGTTGTTTCCTTTCCTCCAAACCTTCTTTTCCCCAACAAAGCTAACCCTGTTAAACCTCACCTTCTGTGGGACATATACATAGTTATAGACATATGTACGAGAAGTAAATATTACAAAAAACATGGCCGATGGGGGCAAAATGTCTGTAGCCTTAAATAGCTCGTGATATCTGCCAACAGCAGAAGCTGTGCTGAGGAGGCCCTACCTCGGCTGACCCGGGGATGCGAGAGCCTCGAGGAGCCTCGTGTTAGTGCTCGGCGCCTACGTGGAGCTTTCTGCTCGCGAATATTGCCGAGCAAATGCTCTGTTATAGCGTGTTAGTTGGAGATACTGTCTACCTGAAGAGTTTTTAAACCAAGGGGCTTTTTTTGCTTTGGCCGTGGGACTTTTTGGTACTTATCACAGGGGTTGGGGGTGGAGCCCAGCCCCAAAAGAAAGATGATAGCTGGGTGTTGGGGTGTCCAGATTTTCTTATCTAAATTTTCTGAACACATTCATGGGAGTGCTCTGGTTTTCTTTGCCAAAAATGCTGTACACAGTTTTGCTGTTCCTGTTGAGTAGTTGCCATATTTAACTCCAGTGGTCGTTAATGGAAATGTGAATATGGTAAGAAATCCTTTCATGCTCCCTCTCATTTTCTGTAACACATTTTGGCATTCCTGGAAAGGAAGGGCATCATAGATATTAAAAATATTTCTAAATACACACAAAGAATATAAAGGAATACCGGCAACTTGGTTTTGTTTATATATTGTTTTGGGGCATGTGTGATATGGTGACTTATTTAAGGGATACCTCTTTTTACTCAGTATTATTGAATTTAGTCATCATAAAAGCACAGTTGTGTTGTACAGAACTGTACAGCAACAGTATTCGTGAATGATCCCATATTGCAACATGCTGATATGGGATCTTCAGGAGATAGTTCATGATTTCTTCAGTCCTTTCAAGAAGGCATTTGATTCACTGCCAATTTTTTGTCCATCAGGACATGTAGATTGTGGTGCTTATAATAAATATCCAAAGTTCGTGGAGGACAATAGGTTGTTTTGGAAATTAGGTTGCAGCCTGGAAAGACAGAAGACTCCACCTAGTGGAGTGGAATTAATCTGCACACGGTGGCAGGCAATAAATAAGGCATACATGAGGTAAGATATTATTTATGAAAAAACAGGTTGATGCAGCGAGTAAAAACCAGGAATTTTGCAGTCATCAGGGGAGATGGTTGCATGTTTCATTACAAATTGTACAAGACTGCAGTTACTTCTGTAGCTCTAGGAGGCTTATGTGTGTCTGCCTTGTTGGATGTCAATATTCAATTTGCATAAGTACTAGTCATTACCACTAGCCATTTTCTTTTGTGGTTCCTTTTATTTGGAGACCTACTGTCTACATTTTTTGATTTTTGATGATGACCACACAGGTGTCCCGTTCAGTTGTGGCCCAGGTGTCATTTTAAATAGCTTGGGCAAAAACCCTCAGTCCAACCCTCTAAACTTATCCACTTTTTTTTCCATAATTATTTATTTTCCAGATTACTTTTTTTTTTTTTTTTTTTTTTTTAAAGTTTACTTCTGTAATGGCAGTATCAGGATGCTGTTTCTTCATGCTGTCATGACGGGTTGGGTGACACATTGAGTAAATCTGTGTGTGCCTTCTGGTAGTCCCAAGGTTTGACAAGCTCTCTTATGAAGCATCAAATTATATAGAATTTTGTACCTGTGCTTTACTTACCCATTGGTTTAGCCACATTGTTTTATAGGATTGCAATACAATTTTGAAGTCAGGGTGCAAGTGAACACACAAATTTGAGCAGCAAAGATACTGTCCTGAAGTCCTCTTGGAAAATTAATCCCAACATTGAATCACACGTATTAGGCAAGTTCAGGAAGAGAACTGCCCCAGACTAGCTCAGGCTTTGACAGCGAGAGACAATGAGGCTATTGCCAGAAAATTAGATGATTAGGATGCAACAAAGGAGACAAAATGATACTGCTGCAAAGGATATTTGGGAAGAGTGCTCCAAAGGAGTGCTTTCAGTGACATCCAGGTGGGGTTTGTTGCCAGAGCCATTAAAGCATACTGGTGCCAGAGAAAGATGCCAACAAATTTAGGGATAATGGCACCTGTGGGTGTGCTATCAGTGGATGGTAGTGCCAGGATGATTTTTTATTTTATTTTAATGGTGGCATTGCTGAAAGTATTTAAGGGTAATGTTATAGAAAGGGTTTTAGTGAGTGAAGTCACTGAGTTCTAGGAACCATTAAGCAAAAGCTGTTTCATGACTGTACTATTTATTATTTTTAAAGCTTGTTGGCAAACCATTTAATACTGGAAAAGCATGTGGCAACCTGTATTAAAGCATGCTGCAGATGAGCAAGGAAACCATTGTACTGAACTGAATAGCCTAGCTTAGTTTCCAAATGTTGCATGCATTTCATGTGCACCATGATAAATTAATGCTACTCCATGGGTCAGCAGAGCTTGTAAACATTGAATTAAAGTACCAGAGCTCAGCTCTTCCATGGTATTCACATGCCCAGTTCTTATTGAAGACGGTGTTTCTTTTGTCTAAGGACCAGTCTGAGGATCTGGACCTTCAGGCTTTATGGGCTCCCATCTCACTTCTGTGATCTTAACAATACTTTGTTAGATCAATTCTGAGACTTAGATCCAGATACGGGCTTAACGACATTATCTTATGTAAGGTTAAGTGGGCCAGCTCAGGTCTTAATGTAAAGTCATTCTCTTTGAATTGTAAATGATAGACTTACCTGACAAGACTTCCATATAAAGGAGAGAAAAGGTATATTCCTTCTGTAATATTACTCTCAGAGGTTCCTGTTGAATCCATGGGTCCAGGATTCTCGACTTCTGTATCCCAAGAGCTGTGTTAAACACTGTGTTTAAGCCAGCTGCCTGCTCCAGAATTTTCCAGAGAAGTGTACAGCTACAGTAAGTAACAGTTAAAGTAATTTTAAAGACTGAATCAATGTATAATTTCCCTTCCACATTCTGAGATTTATCGGTCCCATCCTCTTTACACGGGGAGGTTTTGATGTTAATATTCTTATTTATTTTTTTTTTTTAAACCCAGGCCTAAATTTTGCCTTCTCTACAGAGCTATTATTGGCCGCTATTGTTTTTATTTTCCCGTAGCTTCTCTGGGAAGAGAAGGATGGGCAGGACCTCGGTGACATTGCCAGAGCAAGTCATCGGTGGCCATGTCTGCTGCTCAGGAGGTCACAGGAAGCAGGTGGCTGTGTTAATTGTCCTCGCTCCCAACTCTTGTCCTTCCTGGAGGCAATTTAGAAGTGGTCAGGAAGTGTCAGGCCTACTGTGTCCCCCCTGGTTCACTACTTCATGCGTTCATCATAATTTGAGGTATGTGCCAGGCAAGGGAAACTGTGTAGGAATCCTTACTGTCCTTCCTAACCTGTGTGGCTATCTGCCTGAAAAGGCTGAATACCATCTCTGCAGAGTGTGTTTGAGACAGCATCTGGAATCCAGCAGAATAGTAAAGAATTCTGTTTTTAAAAATAAAAGGTATCTCCCTAACATACAGCATCTTCCTTCTTTCAAGCTGTTGATAAAAGTCCTAGGTAAGAAAACTACAAAAGCTCAAGAGGTTCATGAAATATTTCTGGAAACTATGATCCACTTTTATCTTGTGAGTGGAAGATAGGGAATGTAAATGCATTTTCTGCTTAGGCCGGTCGGGTTTTAATTGTCTTTGTTGGAACTGCACCGTCAGTAGTCTTGGATCCCTAAATGGCACTCAGTGCTGTGCTTTGGAAAATCAGTTAGGGTCTTGCTACTTTGGGTGAACTTGTTAACTGTTTGCTTGATTTTTTAACAGTCAAGGTGCACAGTGTTGCCGTGTATCACTCCGCACCCAAGTGTTGCACCCAGTGCTGTAGAACAGGTTTTGAACTACCAGCAATATTTCTTAAAGTGTCTTTTGAAAAGTATCCACTCATGTTGGAAGTGCTGTGAGTTC